CTGGTTGATATACATCGAACTTTGTTGTCAATCTATTTGTAATTATTTTTGTGAATGGTTTATAAAGTTGTGATAGTAGTGATATTGGACGATAATTTTTCAGATCTGTATTGTCCCCTTTTTTGTGTATTAATATTGTGTTAGCAGTATTCCATTCTTTTGGTATGTTTCCTTCAAATAGGCATTTATTGAAAAGTATTTTTAGGTACCTGATGACTTCTTCTCCGCCTTCTTTCAACATTCCTGCCAGAATTTCATCACTACCCGGTGCTTTATTTTTCATTTCTTTAATTGCATTTTCTATTTCTACTTCGCTTATTTCGGGCATTACTTAAGAATTTACGTTTGTTATTTGTCTTTTCAGATTTTGCTTTGAAGAGTCGGGCAGTGCTATAATTTATAATAATATAATAATAGCCAAAAACTTTACTATACTAAATATACGAAAATCTAGTAAAATATTTACAATTTTCTTATCAGTGAAGTAGCTGTATGTTTACATATGATCGAAATATTGTTGTAATTCCATATATATGGGACTTTAAACTGTTGACTTATAAACATAAGTGCTAAAATCACAAATAAATATCAATAATTCTCATTAAAATAAAACTGTAGCATAAACTTTTGAAAATGTATTATTTGTATTGAAAAGTTAGTTTAAAATTCTACTTATTTATTAATATGAATAGTTGCTAACGTCCTATAAAAACGTGTATCCTCTATAACCTTAAAGCATTAGTGTGTTGATGTACGTTGAAAAATGGAAGTAAGTAGAAAACTTTATAACCTAAATGATACTGAATCATAAAAGGCCCAACAGAAAACACAATATGATAATCTATAATGTCAAAAATTATTTTAAATCAAAATTTATAAGAAACAATTTAATAAAACTTAAATCTAAATTAACTTAAATCTAAAACGTAAAGTTCTGTTTAATATTCACTGATATGCAATAATAATGCATGTCTCATACAAGCCTGTTATTTTTTTTACATTCTTTGCATTTTAAATTTTCACGTATATTTCCGAATTATAAAAATGCATATTTTGAGTCTTTTGGCACATAGTCCCGAAGTGGATTTCTTTACCAAACTATTAGAACCCCCGATCACTTTTAATTTTATTTTCATGCTTAAACGTTAACTGAAAATATGTTATGCTCATGGCATTATTGTTTTTGTTTATTTACAATTAAGGCGCATCAACCTGTTCTGCAATAATAGTCTAAGCCATATATACATGGTTCAGAGTTAATGAGCATATTGTGTCTACCTACTATAAGAAATTTACTGGTAGAAAATAAGACTTTATTTTCTTCTTCTTCTTCTTCTACTTTTTGTAGATCTTTCGATCTGTTTAATTCTGAAGCTGCCCCTGGTTAATTTCTTGGGAGGTAGATTGCCAACTATCCCTCCACCTTTTAGGTGGTCTTCCGGGGGGTCTTGAACTGGGCGAATTGTTTTCTAGGGCAATTTTTGGGAGTCTATTTTCATCCATTCGTCTTACATGGTTGTACCACATCCTCTTGCGCTGCCTTCCCCATCTTACAATATCTTGAATTTTGCACTGCTCTCTAATGTTTGTATTTCTCACTCTGTCTCTTCTTATTTTCCCCATTATTGTTCTTAGGGTTTTCATTTCGGCAACCCTTAGCATCTGTTTCGTTTTGTTGGTATCTTCGCGCACTTCTATGCCATATTATAGATTCTAATTTTACTATCTGTGCGCATATACGGATTTGACCAGACTATCTCCCGCAGACATCCTGACAGTGCAGATGCTTTGTTGATCTGACCTGTTCTATGGGGTTGTCCTCAACCACTAACTTACATCTGAGCGGATCTTTTGCTATTGTCATACATTTAGTTTTGTTGGTAGAGATGTTCATATTTAGTAGTCGGCTTGTTTGAAAGAACTGAAAGAGCTGCCTTTGGAGATCATCTTCTGATTCGGCAATAATTGCTGCATCGTCTGCGTAACACACCATACCAATTCTTTTGTTGTCCATTCTATATCCGAGATTAAAAGATGTTACTTTGTTGATAATTTTGCCCATGAGAAGATTAAACAAGAAGGGACTTAAACTGTCGCCTTTGTCTAATTCCTCCCGGTGTTGGAATATTTTCAGTGAATTCGTCTCCTGCTCTAACTTTGGTTACGTTTTTGTTATTTAGGTTATGGAGTATCTTTGTTATACTGGTCGGTGTTTCATTTTCTATTAATATACTTAGAATGTCTCCCAGGCGAACTCCGTCAAATGCCTTCGTCAAATAAATGAAGCAAATATACGCTGGCATGCCGAACTCTATAGCTTTTTCTTTTATTTGTTTTATTATAAATACTGCGTCTGTTATAGACCGCCCTTTTGTAAAACCTGCTTTATTTTCACATTTTTATATTTCAATAATTACAGGCTATCTAAAAAACCGTGCAAAAGCAAAATAAGTAAAACCAGTTTATTGCAAAAATAACTTAAAGCGGCTTACATGGTTTTTGCAAAATTGTAAAAATATAAATGGTCATTTTGTAATAACCGTCTATTTCTCCGAAATGGTAAATACACAAAAAAACTTTGAATTCGAGTTCATTAGTAAAAGTAAGTAACTGCTACGGATTAAATTCCTACTCCATTTAATCTTGATCAATCTCGAAATCAGGATTTAACCCAATTCCTTCCAAATCATACCTATAATATTCCTATCATATTCTTACAATATTTTGCTGACCAGAATTTTGACTATCAAACAACAGCTTCAATATTTTATATAATGAACAACTGGTTTCGTTATTTGATCAATGCAATATTTTGTCGGCATTTATGGCGCCAACATTCGAGTAATCGCAAAACATATTATGTTACCTTTTTGGTACACTATCTGCGATAAAAGGAATTTAAAAATTTCTTTAATCAATTGCCGAGCTGACAACACAGAAAATTCAGTTTTAATACTTTCGTATTTTACCGTTAAAGATAAAGCCTCTAGTTTGGTGCAATTTTATTTATTTAAATAAAATTTCAAGTCACCATTTATTTAACGTCGAGTTAATCCAGTGATGAAAATCTTTCTCATAGTTACGTTCTGTCAAGTCTTCGTTAGTAACTGAAGATTTGGCGGCAGCATTTACTTTTTCAGTACCATGTATACCTATATGTAACGGAATCCATATACATTTTACAATTCCATTGTTTTGCTGAAGTTGGTACAAATGGTTCTTTATGAATGAATGAATTTTGGTATTATATTCTAAAAATCTTATTGATGAGTTTGTGTGGCGTCGCGAAATTTTGTTAATTTGTTTCCACATTATTTGCTGCTGGGGTAGAACTGTATATTGTTGATAAAATTTTGTTCCAAGATTCCTTTTTTGCTTCTTTTACCACTTTTCTATAATAGCCCTTAACTTCTTATATTCTAGAAGATTTTCTTGTGTTTTTTTTATTTATTGAATGCGCTTTGAGTCTCCTTTATAGCATGCTGACAGTGATTGTTCCACCATGGTACTCCAATACGATTTCTCACTATTTTCTTTTTTTCGATGATATGAACTGCTGCGGAAAGTATGACGGAGGAAAATTTATTTACTATGTTCTTTATATTGTCATGTGGGTATGAATCTGAAAAAAATTCAATTAATTCTCCACAATTTGTGTAAATGGTGACCAATACTCTATTTCTGTATTACATCTAATGTATGGTTGAATTTTTTGTTTGTTTTCGAAATGTATCACTATGGGAACATGACCGCTTCCATACAATATGTACTAGCTTCCCAAGTTTGTTCCCATGTTTTGTACTAAAGAAGAATCTACAAGAGATAAGTCAATATAACTAGTTTTTTCAGTAAAATAGTTAAATATTGTTGGAGATCCATTGTTAAGTAGGGTAATATTGGTGTTATTAATGACAATTTCTATTATGTGTCCTATTTTGTTATATCTATTAGATCCCCCAATTGGATTGTGTCCATTTAGATCTCCTGTTATAACCTTGGGCGATGGAATTTGATCTATAATATGAGTTATTTCTTTTATACTAATATCAGTATTCGATGGAAAATAAATGTTACATATGTTAATAATTTTTGGAGTTTTTATGGTTACTGTTACTGCTTCAAGGTTTACTGCTTTACTACTGTTTTTATGATAACCTGTAAATGTCTTTAGTTTTGCTAATTTTTGGTCAATAAAATTCGTTTTCCGCAAATCGCCAGGAAATTTTGAAATTTTGGAAATTTTCCTGTCAAAATTTCTTGAAGAAAAAGTCAGGACTTCCTTACTGTAAGGAAATGATATTTCCGTACAGTTGTTAGTGTTCTACATAAATTGTCAAGTTTGACAATTCAACCTCAATACGTTTCTATAGTAACCCAAGTAATTTTATTAGGAATTTCAAAGCACCATTTATTTGGAAATAAAATTATCGCGTTTTTTTTAAATCAATCAATATCTGTAGAATTTTAAACGATTTGCGGAAAAATAGTATGTTTACCTCGTAGGAAAAGCCACATTCCTGGACTATGTGTTGCTAAGTCTCGGCTTGCGCCTCGACTTAACAATCTTCACAGTCGTCCAGGAATGTTAAGCTTTTCTTACCCGGTAAACAATGTACTATTCTTGGAGACATATTATCGAAGATGAGTGTTTAGGAATTAATAATTTAAACATTTCTAGTTGTGTGTAATAACCTTTATTTTTCCCTGAAGAATTAACATTTTTGTTCTATATGTTAATTTTCATTCTAGTACGTGATCACTGTCTAATGTTTTTTTTTTATTTTCTATTAAACAAATTTTATAAATTGTTTTAGATTCCTCAAATAGCTCACTTGAAAGTAGTTATCCAATGTACTGTGATTTGTGGATTATGGCCAATGGTTTATAATCGCAGTGACGGACGTACGGTGAACAAATGGTATTATGTTTATTCATGGATATCATTCATAATAGTTTTCTGCTATCTGCTATCCTCTTGGATAGGTGTCTACGATAATATTATGTATGATTTTGATGTGCAAACTTGTACTCAGTCGATCATGTCTTGCTGCCGTCAGAGTGTTTTCGTCGCAAGAACCATATATTTGTGGAAAGAAAATACTATTAATCTTTTACGTCAAATAATGAAAAGAGAAGAACAGATATACAATTCTCAAGATAAAGAAATAATAGATCTAATGAATACTAATATAAAAAATAATCATAAGTTGGATTGGTATTACATGATTTTTCAAATGGCAGGTAAGACGATTAATTATAGACCTACAAAGTATTGTTAAATTCTCATTAATCATTCTTGTTTGTAATAATCAATAGAAACATATCGCTTCTCTGAAACAACAATAACATAGGTAAGAAGGTTAGGTAGAATGCGATCTTACTCTTCATAAAATATGTCACGTATTTCAGCGCCACCTCTCGGCCTGGAAGTATACCATAATATGGCCTTCACATAATTGGTCTGTGGCTTCCACATGATAGGTGCAAAATTTTAAACGTTCTTGTTGTTGATTGGATAGTAGCTCCTACATGATAGGTGTGAAATTTTAAACCTTCTTTATGTTGATTGGATAGTATGCTCAAGGTGAGTGAGCGATAAATTTGAAAGACTTACCGTACAGCTTGTCACATACGGGGAACTATGCTATATTATATCATACCCACTCTCTATAATAATAAATGAGCCTGCATAGACGGAACTAATGGTTCCGTGTATGCAGGCTCACCAATAAAGAGCGGATGATATAATATATAGTATAGTATAGCTCCCCTGCGTGACAAGCTGTACGGTAAGTCTTTCAAATTTACCGCTCACTCACCTTGAGCATACTATCCAATCAACATCAAGAACGTTTATTCCAATAGATATTTTCATGGAGTGAACAATCAAGATAAAACACAACAAAATTTTCTTTCTTAATTATTTATTTATATAATGTTACATTTTACAGAGTATACTGTTTAAATTTAGTTTGTAAATTTTGAATTATAAAATGAAGATTTACGTCAATAATTATTATGTTGTTAAAATTTATTTATTTTACCGGCACCGGCACTAACCATCCCTATAATAACAGGTATTTAATAGACGGTTCCATAATAGCAAGATTCCTAAAGACTTGAAAGATAGTCTAGTAACAATATTTCACAAAAAAGGGGATAAATGTGATCTAAAGAATTATAGACATGTAAATTCTTGCTCAGCATCAGTTGAAAGGTTTTTGAAACAGTCATGTGTGACAGGCTTCTCAGTTTTTTCTGTAGTGAGGGACTGTTATGCCATGCACAACATGGGTACCTTAACAGAAATTCTATAGAGACTGTCATTTATGATTTTATAACAAAGATAAATGAGGGTTATGAAAACAAAGATATATCCATGGGCATATTTTTAGATTTATCAAAAGCATTTGATACTTTAAATCACAAAATACTAATGGAAAAGCTTTACAGATATGGTATTAGAGGGCCAGGTTATATTTGGATAAAATCTTCTCTTCTTCTTTTCTAATATAGAAATACTTACGTTTTGGAGTTTGATTACTAGTTCCAGGACAAGTATCAATTTGTGCCTGGAGACACACTGAAACTACAGCTGGACATGACATTTTGTATGTCCTTTAGTAGAGGCCTTTCTGTCTGGGGTAAATGTATCTCACCCAAAGAGGCTGAAATAAAAAATTTGAGTGAGTGAAAACAATATCAATACTAAAGTTTCAATAATAAAAAAAACCTGTAACTCCACAATGACAACAAAAATATATGTGCAGTACTAACTTAACTTTCAATATCTAAATCTTAATTATATACCTGGCAGATTGATGGATGACAAAACTCCTGTTTTTAGTCGATTATTAGGACCAAAATCTTCTGCTTTGAAATGAATGGAGCAAACTCTGTTACTTGTGTAGACCTTTTGAGGATCTTTATCCAACAGGTTTTTATCACCCACTAAATATACCCATTGATTAAAAAGATCCGCGTACTTTTGTGGATCCGGAAATCTATGTTTACTTGTTGTACTTTTCCAACATGTCTGCACACAACAGGTGATGGGAGGCATTTTAGCTAAAAATAAAAATCTTAAATCAAATTAAATAAATGTGTATTTTAAACATGTTAGATAAACACTCTCGTTACATGGATAAATCAATCAATCTACAATATAATCAAAAAATCTTACCACTTAATCAGGTGTATAAAAATATGGAAAAATAGGAATGAATACAAACTATTCTTATGGTCACACAAACCAAACAAAAACACCACTTAATCGGGTATAAAAAAATATCGAAAAATACGATTGAAAATAATTTTTTCAACAGTCGCAAAAACCAAAATAAACGCAAACAAATACCACGTAAACAGCTACACGCTATAAAGGCTTCATTTTGAAATTTTGAATTGGCTTTTTGGACGCGATAGGTCACAGTGCAGGGCTTGTCAAATGTCATGTTCTATGATGCATAAATTAACGTTTTGCACGGCCTCATACGGCCTGGAAGTAAACTAAATAGAATAACATTTTATTTACTAGAGTTCGCGGGGCATGAACAATAACGTAAGTGCAATTTTTTGCAGTTTTGAGCTAAATGTGTTAAAAAAGTCAGAACGTGTCATTCTATCGGATGGAACAATACCATAAAGGTAGTACATTTATTAGCCACTAGGAAGCAGCTGCGTCGTTGTCAAAATTATGTACTTTCCACCATATTGTTGGCCATTGTGTGGCCATATTGTTCGGCCTATATTGCCGCAAATGTCAGTTTTTTTTTGTTCTTGGCTTGGACAATTGTCATTCAGCCAGTCTCAATCAGCATGTGTTTTATTATCGAATTTAAATCTGCATATAAATATTTAAAGAATTAGTGAAACATGATTAATACAATGATAATAATATAATAATTCCGTACTTAGCTAATGTGTAGGGTTAATTTCTGGAATACAAAAAAAAGTTTCAAATAAAAGTTATATTATTTTATCTGTACCGACCAACAGTGTAGCAACAGACCAAATTTTGTATACATGGAGTGCCAAATAATATGCATCTTCAATATTTCAAATGGGACACCTTGTATTTTTTTATAGTTTTGAGTAGCAATGAATTTTCTCGATTACAAGGCTATGGTACTACTATACTATACTAAGATAAGAAAAAATATATTTAGAATTGCTGCGCGAAAGATTTCTGCGGATGAGCTGTCGAACCATTCCTTAGGTCTCTCAGCCATGAGTTCTGGCGTCTTCCTACTGATCTTTTGCCCTGTACTTTTCCTGTTGTAAAGATCCTGTAAGATACAATACAATACTACATTTAAGATTACAATAGATGCTCAAAGTGTCTTTCATTGTTATCAATGCACAAGTAATATCTTCGTCTCAAATTTTCTAATGCGTCAGATATTGTATTATTATGACCACTTATACTTCATCACTTGTCGTGATAGTGTTATGTGTATTTGAATCAAAATACTCTTTTTCTTTTAAAAACCCCCCATAAAAAGCTATCACATGGTGTTAAGTCGGGACTATTTGGTGGCCATATAATGGTACCCTTATTGCCGATCCACACATTAAATTGATTATTTAAATGTTCTTGAACAGCTACGACATTATGTGGCGGTGCTCCATCTTGTTGCCATATCATACTATTTAATTGATTTTGTGTATAATTTTGATTGAATAACTTATCCACTTCTGTAATGACTGTGCCCAAATATGATTTCCCAGTTAATTTATAACCGTAAAACAATGGTCCAACTATTTTGGTTTGAAATATTCCGCACCACACATTTATTGATTTTCTTCCTGACTTTTTTATTTGCTTATTTTTGTTTCTATTATATTTCTGTTCCCACGAATACCTATTTCTTCCATTAAAAATGCCTGAAGTTGAAAATTTTGATTCATCTGTCCATAAAATGTTATAAAAATAATTAGGCTCATTGTTCAAATTTGTAAGCATGTCTTGACAGAACTGCAAACGCTTGTTCTTATGAACATTTTCTAAAATAAAAATTTTATTATGGATTTAATCTATTATTTAGGTATTTAATTTTTGTCTACAATGTAAAGCAAAGTATTAAGATCTTTATCATTATTTCCTACGATAGTACGTTTAATATATAAAAATTAATTATATAAAATTATATAATTATATCATTATAATTATAATTATATATAATTATGTCGGTCAGATAGCTCAGCGGGCTGTGCGGCTGCCTCTCATTCGCTTCACTGTCGAATGGTTCAGTGGATGTGGGATCGAGCCCCAGCTCGGTGTACAGAAAACAAAAAGTCTAACGCAGCAGTTTAAAATTCTAGATGAATCTGCGGCTTAGACTAGGATATGCTGGGATCTGATCGGCCTATGGTGGAGCAGTACGGCAAGAGATAAGGGCTTGCGGCTCGGTGATACTCCTCCATAGATCCCTACCGTAACGCCTAAAAAACCGGATATAAATATATATATATATATATATATATATATATATATATATATATATATATATATATATATATATATAAAAATGTATTTGCAGAAGGAGTCTGTTGATCTGGATAAATCAGCCTATATTCTCTTCTTGTCGCTTGCTTGTTTTTATTATTTTTTACATAAATTGAGAATATATCTACTTTTTCATCTGCAGTATAACCCATTTTGGTATCAGGACTGACAGTTTATAATAAATTAATAATTGTTTCATTTTGAAATGTCAGTGCATAGCCACCTATGGTTACCATTTTGCAGTACCATATGCCATTATAGAACAAAACTAATGCTTTTAATTTTATATATTGGTAATCAGGAAATGCAGGGCTGCTCAAAACTTTAAAAAAATAAAGGGTGTCCCATTTGAAACATTGAAGATGCATTTTATTGGGCACTCCCTGTATATAAAATTTGGTCTGTTGCTACACTGTTGGTCGGTACAGATAAAACAATACAACTTTTATTTAAAACTTTTTTTTGTATTTCCGAAATTAAGAAAAATAAGTGGGGTTCAAAATATAATGAGAAACCCGGTACAAACTATGTTAATAAATACTATATTATACCTTTATTATATAATTCAGTTATTGAAAGACATCATGTGCAATACATAGTGTATACATCTTACAAATAAAAACATCTACCTACTATTAATAAATATAACTATGGTGATATACATATATACATATATATATATATATATATATATATATATATATATATATATATACATATATATATATATATA